TTCATAAGGTTCATCTCGTACATGAACCCCGATTAATGAATTTTGTTTTAGTTCATCAAGAATATCATCATCTTTTAATGTTAATTCATCATCTAGTGCATTCATTTCAACATGATAATTGGTGTCATCAGATGAAGATACATCATCATATTCTTCCTCATAATAATTAAGTGTAAATATATCATTTGGTGTTATTTTTGATGTTGAAAATTTGGTTGGTGATGGTAATTTATTCATTAATTTCGTAACACTGAGACAATCATTTAATGCATAGTCAATGGTGTAATATTTTACTACTTCAGCATAATCAATTAAATCATCAAGTAAATCACTGGGCACATTGTTGTGAATATGATAATACCTATAAGAAGATAAGGGTCGGAAAAGATCAGATTTACCTTGTTCATGGAGTTGTTTTAATCGATTTTTTTCTCGTACTCGTTCAGGTTGCTAATTTTTCGTTCGTTCGTCCAATTTTTCTAATGATGAAATATATTTTGGTCGACTTTCATGATGTGATGATGAATTTGTATTTCTTGTTGAACTAAAACAAAATTCATTAATCGGGGTTCATGTACGAGATGAACCTTATGAAATGATAGGTGATAATGATATTGGTGATATTTCATTACCAGGAATTATGAAATGACATTTATCATGGAGACAACATCATTTAAGTGAACCTCAAGAAAGGGTTTATGGTCAAGATGAACCCTTAAATGAAATTTAAATAATTTCAGATGATGATATTGAACAATATACGACAACAAGATCCTTTCAATCTCAACAACATGAATCATTAACAAGAAACCAAAGGAAAAATAAAAAGAAACAAGCAATAAGATATAGATTTGAAGTTATTCGACGAATTTATCACAAATCTACCATCACCAACATTAAGAAAATATTAATTTTTATGAATATTTATTATAGAAACTTAAATGTCGTTGACAATACATTATTTTTGGACATGAAAAATGAACAAATACAAAAAGAAGTCGACTAAATATTACATAATGGCTTATTCACTAAAGAACATTATTATCGAATTTGGAAAAAAAACTCCATCTCGACGGAAATCAATAAAAAAGAAAAAACATCTTTTATTTATATATACATATACGTATATTTTTTTCTTTTTCTCTCTTTTTGTTATCTATTGGATCATATTATTAAACATATATAGTAGTGTTTTTTTTGTTATTATTTGTTATAGTTTTCTTCATTTTTTGTTACACTTTTAAGCGTGAGGACACATATCTTTTGAAGAAGGGGTGACTGTTACTAGCCTGCCCTTCACATCGTTTTCACTATATTTCACTTATACAGGTCTCTTTTGTTTTCTTTTTCTTATAGCTATATCATTTTTAACTGATTATATTTCTTTGGATGACTAGATATATCTTTTGTTTGTTCTATGATATCATTATATCTAGTCATCCACCGCTATTTACTTTTCTATATGTTTTCCCTGGATAGAAGAATATATATATATATATATGTATGTATGTGCGGGCATTCTCCCAGAGAGAGTGGGGTCAAATATATGATTGATTAATATAAAGAAGCAAAAAAAGGAACAATTAAAACCTCTTTACATCTTCCCTAATAGTAAGATAATCGATTTAGATAGTTGAATGGAAGAAAATCAACCTGTTCGAGGTTGTCTACAGTTCGTTTTCACATGTCATCTAGGTCGCCTTTAAAAATACATTGTGAATAATAGTATTTAAACCGAAGAAGATAAAAGGGAATGAATTAGATAAAAATGCCGAGTATGAACAAAGATGATTATGATTATGAACTTAAAACTATTTAGATTTTGCAACTATTTTTCAACATTGATTTTCCTGTAATTTTTTTCATTTAATAAATCCTGTCTTGTTTCCACAATTCAATCGTTCTTTTTCTCTCCTACTGATTCTGCTTTGCGGACATTTTTTCCTCTCTCTCCCTGATTCTTGATTGCGGACATTTTTCCTTAATAAGTCGAAAAAAAATGTCCACAATCAAGATATAGCCCATACAAATATTGATTAAGAACATAATGACTATTTTTAATTATAGATACACGTATTCTTTTTGCTATATCAGAATTTCTAGAAAAAAGAATTTGCAGTAAAGAACACATTCAATATTTACTCGCCTATATTATGTGACACGTCAAATCTTATTTTCTTCACTGTCAATACGAGTATCTTTTAAAAGTAATATTTTGCGCTTACCTTTTGTAAGACATGAGAATGATCGATTTTATTGCAAAATTTTTTAAAGAAATGTAACACGTATGTAGATTTATTTAATATTAATTAATTTAATTCTATAAAAGAGATATCCTTTATTGACACTTCTCACAAAAAAAAATGATCAAGAGCAAATGTTAAAAGTTTTTGTCAGCGAGATCGAATGACAATAAAACGGAGAAAAAAAGACAATCCCTCTTCATTTGAAATTGAATCACGAATCTCCTGCTTTCTAGGTAATTGAACTATCACTGCGCTAGAAAACGTAGTTCCTCTTGGTTTTTTGACTGAAAGGAAATATTCCAGTCATAAAAACAAACTTATTACATAAGTTTTTTTGAATGACAGTTAAAATACCCTTAAAACAAAAAATTAATAATTCAGCCTTTTATTTTTCATTATTATAATTATCAAAAAAAAAAAACACACAACATCTTTCGAGAACAAAAACCAAAAAAAAATAAAAAAAAAAGAAAAACACAAGAAAAAAAGTAAATACA